TCAAGAACAGCAGCAGTCAGCACACATTACCTGAACAAATGATCCCTACATCCTCCTTGTGTCCACATTCATCCTCTCCACACAGCTGAAATCTGCAGTTCCACAGGGACGTCTCGTTCCCCTCACACTCCACCTCGTTCAGCCATATGGGTCCAGTTCCAGGTCCAAACTGAGCTGGTACAGGAGCACTGAGGGCCACTCCACACTGCAGCTGTCTGCACACCACCTGCGCATCCTTAATATCCCACAAGTCATCACACACTGTCCCCCATGAGCCGCTGTGGAAAACCTCCAGCCTTCCTGCACAGTCTACCCCAGAACCAACCAGCCTGATGGAGCTGTGAGCTGAATTAAACTTACCTACAAACACACACACACACACACACACACACACACACAGATACACAAGACTGAGAACTGAAATTAATCCCACAGTGTACCCATTTAAGGTTGATAACACTCTGTTAGTCACTGTGTGTCTATAATAAGTAAATATTTTGTCTGTGAATCGGACAAGAATGATAACACATCATGTGAGATATTTATGTGATATTTAACTACTATAATCTTTTACCAGAGCAGGTGATTGAGAGCTGTTCTCTGGAGCTGCAGTTGACTGCTTGTGCGCTGCTGCAGTTCCCCAGATGTGCTTCACTCCCAGAACAACTGAAACCCGTCACACACATGTGTCTGTGTTCAGGACTGGATGGAGAGGAGCTGGAGAAGTTCAACACAGAGCCACAGCCCAGCTGTCTGCAGACCACAGAGGCCTCAGACTCACTCCAGGAGTCCAGCGGAACTCTCCTCCAGTCCTGCCTGAAGTACACCTCCACCTCCCCCTCACACTCCATCCCTCCAGACAACCGCACTCGCCCCCCATGAAACGCCAGAGAGGAACCTGAAGAGGAAATCTAGTCCCATTGAGATTTTCTAGTCTCCAAACACACCATGAAGTGTTTCACTTATTAAAATACCAGCAACTAATAAAATTTATAATGAAATGAAGTTTTTTCATTAACATCATGTGCATAACTCAAAGCACTCACCACTGCAGATGACTCCAGCATCCTGTTTATGAGAGCATGCAGTTCGACTCCATGATGAAATGGGACATTTTGACAGGTGTGTTTCGTTCCCCTGACAATTAAACACATCAGCCCAGATCTGGCCACTCCCCTCCCCAAACCAGTCTGACCCCAACACAGCCACAGCACTCCCACACTTCAGCTGACCACAGAGGACACTGGCAGCTCTCATATCCCAGCTTACATCACACACTGTGCCCCACTCACTGAGGTACTGGAGCTCCACTCGACCAGAACAGGAGTCAGAGCTGTTCACCAGCCGAGCCTGAGTGTGACCTTTACACACAATGGAGAGTATAGATAAACAGTAAGCAAAAAAATGTAAGAATGACATCATATAATTATAAATTATTGCACACGTATCAGTACAAATATCAAACACTTGTATATATCAATACTTAACCAGAGCAAATTATCCCCACATCGTTGTTATGGGAAGAGTTGTGTTTTAAGGAAGGTGATGTTGGACAGAGGTACATATGAGATTCGTTGCCTCTACACTGAAGCTCCTCTGACCACACCTGACCCTCCCCTCTGCCAAAAGCAGCTCCTCCTAGCACCTCCACAGGAAGCCCACAGCCCAGCACTCGACACACAACCTCTGCATCCTGCTGGTCAAAGTCAGCATCACATACTGTGGCCCAAGTATTCAGATGAGGTACCTCTACTCGCCCAGAGCACACGTGAGGACCACCAACAAGTCTGGGTTTATCACCTACAATATGTATTTTATGTATATTGTAACAGTTCCACACAAATAATAGAACAAAACACTAAAATGATCCCTGCTCATAGTAATTGCATATCTTCCAAATCTTTAATGAAAATAAGTATTGTTTGAATTTGGTTAAGCTTACCAAAGCAGACGACTCCTGCATCTTTATTATGATCACAATTTTGTTTACCCCACCCTCTTGATCTACAGTGCTTCAGTGTAGACTCTGATCCACTGCAGTATACATTATCCATCCAGATTGGTCCTGATCCTGGGCCAAAGGGAGCATTTCTTAGTGCACTAACAGCCTCCCCACAGCCCAGCTCTCTACATACCACTGCAGCAGCTCTCATATCCCAGCTATCATCACACACTGTTCCCCACTGTCCTCTATAAAGAACTTCCACTCTCCCAGCACAGTGATTAGTACCATGCACAAGCCTGATATTGTCTGTACATCAAGGACATGAAAAAAAGGAAAAAAAAAGACGATGAAAAACAAGCATATAACAGTGAACCTTTTAAATTACAGCAAAATGGTCAGAGGAATATACGTGCTTACCAGCACACACCAGTCCCACATCACTGTCATGAGAGCAGTTGCGTTTGAGTGATGATGATCTTGGACAGAGAGAAATTTCAGATTCATGGCCTCTACACTGAAGCTTCTCTGACCACACCTGACCCTCCCCTCTGCCAAAAGCAGCTCCTCCTAGCACCTCCACAGGAAGCCCACAGCCCAGCTCTCGACACACAACCTCTGCATCCTGCTGGTCAAAGTCAACATCACACACTGTGGACCAGGTCTCTCCATGAAGAACCTCCACTCTCCCAGAGCAGTGAAAACCACCAACTAGCCTGACTCCTAAAATCATGAGAGAACATAGATTGTGTACACTTTCTTATGACAAACATCAGTGTTAGTATAGTGTAGTCAGTATAGTTTCAATTTAGGTCATTTTGACACATATTTGGATTTTAGTGCCATCATCATAGTCTAAAATAGTATAAAAAGCAAAAACAAATCGATATTGTGAAGGATACTCAAATATTGTGGATTTAAAAATCAAAAGTGCTTCATCTTTTATTTTCAATGTTATGTAAAAGTATGTTCTACTGCTTTGAAATAATGGTATTTTACCTTACTCCCTCTAATTTTTCAATGAGCATAAGAACTTAAAACAAATGCTAAATGAAGTTATTTATACAGCCGTTATTTACAGCCATATACTCCGTTATTTACAGCCATATACTCAGAAAACCCTGGAATCTGAAGGGGAAATGATCATATTTGTCTTTTGATTCCCATACATTAGTAGTATCCCAGAATTCCTAGAGGGCACTGAGATAATCATTAGAAAAATGTAATATCACCGAACTAAGAAATGGGGAATAAAATATTGAAAATTAATAAGGGACCACAGAATGCTGTGGTACAAACATACAACCATGTCTAATAAAACAGAGGTGTATAATGAGTAGATGGATCAAAAGCACATACTTAGGCCTGCTTACCTGAGCAGATGACTCCTGCATCTCTAACATGACCACAGTTATGTTTACCCCACCCTGATGATCTACACTTCTTCAGTGTAGACTCTGATCCTCTACAGTCCACATCATCCATCCAAATTTTGCCTGATCCTGATCCAAAGTGAGCAACACTAAGCGCTTTCTTACAGCCCAGCTCTCTACACACCACATCAGCATCTTTCAAATCCCAGCCATCATCACACACTGTTCCCCACTGTTCTCTGTGAAGAACCTCCACTCTTCCAGCACAGCGACTGCCACCATCCACCAACCTCACACTGTCTGTACAACAGAGAGAGAGAGAGAGAGAGAGAGAGAGAGAGAGAGATAGGTAGTTATACATAAATCAGAATCAGATAGACAATCGATCATAAGGCCACTTTATTAGGAATATGTAACCACCAGGATGTCATACTTCGTATCTACAGATGGGAAGTGAGGTGCTATTCTTGTGCTCAGAGACTGACAACACAACAGAATACAATCTATGTGCAGCTCCAGACATGAAGCCTTTGTGCCCATGTGTGTCTGGACTTCGGGAGTTTCATTCAGAAAACCGAGATGACTATTGCAAAGGCTTGATTCTTTGGTCTGTGGGCCATTTTTGTGTGAATTTCTTGTAATACTTTGAATGACTGTCCTTTTGGAAGATTCAACAGCTTTGTTTCAGCTACTCAGTAGAGGCAGCTGGATTTTTATTTAAAATGTCCTGAAACTTGACAGTTCATCATCATTACACTCCATTTTATGTTGGTCATGTTCGTCTATTTCTGTGTATGTATCGTCTTGGTTTTGTCTCTGCAAAGTCTTACATGTGCATTTGTTTCTTTGTTGTTTCCCTGTTAGCTCTGTCTTGTTTTCTACCCTGTTCTCATGTCATCACCAGCTAATCAAAAGTGCACAGTTCAAGAGATGAATCTCTGCCACGCTGAGAGGGCACCTGGTTGACTAGCTGTAATTTGCACACCTTTGAGTTTCTAAATGCTCCCACAAAGAAGCTGAGAATTACTGGAAAAAATACTGACACCTTCACGGATTCTGGCGGTAACGTCTTTAGTGCACACTTCTCTCCTTAAGTAAGTATTAGGAGCCCTGGCAGGGCCCATACACTATCAATGAGCAAGTAAAACAGTCAATTATTGAGTGCGCCAACCTGTTTAGCACAAGAAAGATAAACTGTATAACTTTGTCTAATCAGCATTTGCAGAATTGAAAGATCCACTCTCCTGGTACCTAATATGGTCTTGCAAAGATTTTCTCAAGTACAGCAGCAGAAGTTCATGAAATTAGCAGACCAGTTTGTGGATATCTTTTCTATGGAACCCTGGTATAACCAAATGGTGCAAATTGATATCAAATTGATATCAACCCCAGGAGGGTGACGCAATATAAAGTCCCCTTGTTTGGTCTCCATGGGGAGTGGGCAGTCTTCCAGAGACTCACAGAGTTTTGGAAAGTACTGTGTATGTATACAGAATGGCAGGTGCATGTTGTACACAATATAAATGCAATTTCTTTATATCAACATATACATCAGAGAAAAAATAGACTAACTGTTAAAGATGCAGTCCATACCAGCACACACAAGTCCGACATCGCTCTCATGGGAGCAGTTGTGATTGTGTAAAGATGATGTTGGACAGAAGGAAATCTGAGATTCGCTGCCTCTACACTGAAGCTCCTCTGACCACACCTGACCCTCCCCTCTTCCAAAAGTAGCTGCTCCCAGCACCTTCGCAGGAAGCCCACAGCCCAGCTCTCGACACATCCTCTGCATCCTGCTGGTCAAAGTGTGCATCACACACCGTGGCCCAGCTCTTTGCATAAGAGACTTCTACTCTCCCAGAACAGCGTGAACCACCAACCAACCTGATTCCTAAGAGAACAGAGACCATGTAAAACGCTTAGACTAACATCAGTGTATTCTGTATTATGTTCTATATTATGTTAAAGTGTTAATTGAATTTACTTTAACGGTGACAAATAGAAATCTGTAGACTGTCTATTGACCATACCATGACCTTAAAGTCTGAGGGACTTGGGGATGCAAATGGTAGGCTGTTTAGCAATTACTGAGACAGTAAAGAGTGTAAGATACATTAATTCATAAAAAAATCATTTTGAGGTTTAGTGCAGCTTACCTAAGCAGATGACTCCAACATCTTTACTGTGATCACAATTATGTTTACCCCATCCTGCTGATCTACAGTTCTTCAATGTAGACTCTGATCCACTACAGTCCACATCATCCATCCAGATCGGGCCAGATCCTGGACCAAAATGAGGTTTACTTTGTGCAACTACAGCTTCCCCACAGCCCAGCTCTCGACACACCACTGCAGCATCTCTCATATTCCAGTTATCATGACATACTGTTCCCCACTGTCCTCTATGAAGAACCTCCACTCTCCCAGAACAGTGACTATCACCATCCACCAACCTCACACTGTCTGTACAACAAAGAAACATATACAATGACATATTGTTAATCACAAAGAGTGAACTGTGTTTGAATTATCATATTCAAAGTAAAACTGCTTAGTTTTTTAATGATCTTACAAAGCAACTTTAGGACTTAAGTTGTAAGCCCAAGTCAGTTAAAAGTCTGAAATGTGTCTAGCACCATGTAAGAACATGTCTATTATTAGCTTGCTGATCTGAATGGTAAGCTTGTAGTGGTTCTTTATGTGTGCGATTTTGAGCCATTCTGGACACTGTCGTTGATGGTTTGCCACAGCGCCCCCTTCCGCGGCTTCCGTTTAGTTGACTATGTTTCCCACACTCCAGCCAAACTTATGAACTTATGAAAGAGGAAATACTATCTGTTTTTTTTGTTTGTTTTTTTTTCTAGTTAATCAAAGAATCAGTTTTAAGATAAAAAACAAAACTGGAAAAGTGAAACAACCACACGTGTTAGTTTTTCGACATTTCCAATGAATTGAACAAATAAATGAACCAATAATCCATGGACCATACACCTATTCAGCAGCGTGTCACACTTCAAAATAGCATGAATTCTCTATAGCATACATTCTACAACATGCTATATGTATTGGGTAGGAATGTTATACTAGAAATGAATGCATTGCACACTTGCAATGCAGCAAACTAGATGGCTGCACAGGTTTGCTGCAAGCAGACATTTCCATCGCATCCCAAAGATCAAGAGGATTGAGATCCAGACACAGTCAGGAGTCTAAAAGAGTATAAAACTAGCTATCATGTTCCTGTAACCATATGATGATTGTGTCATAGTGCACTATCATGCTGGAAGTGTCTATACAAGCATGGATAAATTGTAGCCCTGAAGATATGAACTGTGTCAGCAACTGTGTTCAGATATGCTTTGCCATTCAGATGTTCTTCAGTGACTATCGGGGGTCCTAATGTGTGGCAGTAAAACATTCCCCACACCATCATACTGCCACCACCAGCATGCACTGTCGTCACCAAACAGGATGGCTTCATGAACTCATGTTGCTTGTATCAAATTCTGATCCTTTCATCATCCAGCATGATGCAACAGGAATCTTCCTTCATCTTTTCAGACAACTTCTTTCCACTCCTCATCAGTCTAGCTGTTATGCTTTTACACCTACTGGAAATGCGCTCTCTTGTTCTTTGTTGACAGCACTGGTACCTAACATAGTCCTCAGCTGTTGTGACTCATTCAGAAAGAAGTCTGTTAAGTGGTATATTCTGCACATGGACATAAAACTGTGATTTGCCAAGTTGTGGTCTGTTTGTTTGTTTGCACAATCATCACCATTCTTCTTTGAATTTTCTGATCAAATGTTTTATTCCAGACAATCAATTTTAAGTGGTTCTTTTGAGATGAAATGAACACTCAACAGACTCTCAGTAACATATCAACAGCCGAATGTCAATCATGTAACAGCAGTAAATTAATTAACTGTGTGAATAAAATTTCTTCATAATCTGCTGAATTCAGTTGTTTTTCACTTTATTTTGAGGGTACAAGTTCATATCTGTACATGCTGTAGTGACCTGAGGAGCTGTATCAGATTTAATATAGACCATCTCAACATCCTCAACAAGCTGTTATAGACATGCTGCTGACACCACTCTCTAACTGGGGCTTAACTGGATTAGGTTTTGGTTAAATTAAAGTTAGGATTAGGGCCAGGGTTAGGATTCGGTTTTGGGTTACGATTAGGATTAGGATTAGGGCCAGGGTGAGGGTTAAGTTTTAGGTAAGGTTCGGTAAGGTTAGGTTTTGCTTAATGGAAGTAACATTAAGTCTACCTCATGTAACATATCAACAATACTACTAGTGTAAGTAATGTATCAACAGAACATCTCGAAAATATTTACCTCAATATATTCAGATGCTCCACTGATATGTTGTTGATGTGTTACTGATACTCTGTTAAGAGTTTATTAATCACCTACAAAAGACCACTCAAAAAAAAGTGTTACCCCAATCTAAATCTCTATTTTAGCTGGGAGACAGGGCATTTCACAAACAGTAAACCTTTGCGAGTTCATATTCAGTGAGAGGAGCTGCTGCTCACCAATCTGGTAATAATGACTTTGATACGCAAATTAATGCATTTGACCACAGTTTATGCTACTACATTGTGTGAATTTACTACATATCAGTTTGAATATTTCTGAACTAATGATGCTTTCACCTTTTCCTTGTTTGGTGTGGCCTTACTTTGTATTTTTGTACTGCACACTACTCTTATTGTTTATTGTTTTAGTATGTTTTATTCTATTATTTATCTCTACTTTCTTTTTATATATCTGTATATAGTGTATGGCTATTATATCTATCTATCTATCTATCTATCTATCTATCTATCTATCTATCAATCAATCTATCTATCTATCTATGTATCTATCTATCTATCTGTCTTACAAATGCTTCCTTTACTTCGGTGGTTTTGATAGGTGAGCATTCATATTCAGGTCCACAATTGGACTGTGCTTCAGTTTTCTGCTGGTGGGAATGCATTGTTTTGAGGGTGTGCTTTTCTCAGTGCACAACCGTCCTGTACTGTCTGCATAATCAGTCTGTTTTGACATTTTACTCTTTACAGATACACTTTAACCTTTGCAGCGTGAAACTGTCTAAACCAAATGAAAAAGATACAAGGTCTAAAAACCCAAACTCTGGTGTGGACTTTGTAAAATGAATTAGGTGTGGTGTGAAAACAGACTGATGTTAGCTAGCAGTGTTTGCAATTTGAAACTGATCCCAGTGAAGTGCAGGATCAAAACAAATACTAATACTGTTCATAAATATGTTTAAAGAAATATGAAATTAGCATGGCAGGAAGTGGCCTAGTTGTATTTTGTCAATCAGCCAGCTGTGTGGTCTTTCTTGGTGTTCTGTCTGATTTATGCCTCACTCCACAGTCACGTGACATATGACTTGCTGTTACAACTTCTGTGAAGATAGGGATGTAGGGATGTGTGATTGATTCAGCACAGCATCATTAGTCTACATTCTCTGCAGTAATTCCAGCGACAGTTAATCTAAAGCCACATGTTCATCTTTTCTGAGCACTAGTGGTTTCAATAACTGTATTTCCAGTTCCCACATTATTATCTATTATTTTATTTCAGGTGCAGTTTGTCACTAACTTGAAAAAAATTTGGCAATTTAACACAGACTTGAACAAACTTGATCTCAGATTCTGAGGTCACTTCTGACTTACAGAAGCTTGTTTGTTTCTTGTAAGTGATATTTGCTTCACATATTTGTATTGTCTTGGTATTTAGACATTTTCTTAAGGTATTTATACCCTCTATTTAGCACTAAATTGAGCATTTTACACAACTTGTGCCTATGGTACTCATATATTAGCTTACTTACTAACAGTAGTTCACTAGTAACTAGATAAAACTGATATCGTCTGTGAAATCATACTTTCATGTATTAAACACATTTAGATTATTATCCGACTTGGGCCAACTAACATCCCTTTTAATTAGATAATGATTATATTAAAATGTGTGTAAAATGTACATTCAATATTAAAACAAATGATGACAGAAATGTTAAGATTTTACCAGCACACAACAGTCCTACGTCATTTCCATGGGAGCAGTTGTGTTTAAGTGAAGATGATGTTGGACAGAAGTAAATCTGAGATTCGTTGCCTCTACACTGAAACTCCTCTGACCACACCTGACCCTCCCCTCTGCCAAAAGCAGCTCCTCCCAGCACCTCCACAGGAAGCCCACAGCCCAACTCTCGACACACAACCTCTGCATCCTGCTGGTCAAAGTCAGCATCACACAGTGTGGACCAGGTCTCTCCATGAAGAACCTCCACTCTCCCAGAACAGCGAGAACCACCAACCAGTCTGACTCCTGAAATGTTATCACACGCTAAAGACAGCTACTTATAACTGATGCTGATATTTTGCTTAATTTTAATTTTGCCATTTTAAAAGGTGTTAATATAAAAAGAATAAGAAATGTATAGAAATTAAATAGAAATGATAAATTTGATAAAACAATTATCCCTGGAAAATCTTTTCCAAATGGTAAGAAGGAATCAAATACAAAGAATATCACTATGAATCACAGTGACCAATATATAATTTATTGGAAAAAAAAAATGTTGAAATTGATATTGTTGAAATTCACATTGAGATTCAGTGCCACTCACCAGAGCAGACAACTCCAGCATCTTTAGAATGGCTGCAGTCATGTTTACCCCATCCTGATGATTTACAATTCTTTAGTGTAGATTCAGATTCTCTACAGTTCACTTCATCCATCCAGATTGGTCCTGATCCTGGACCAAAGTGAGCGTCATTTAGTGCATCTACAGCCTCTCCACAGCGCAGCTCTCTACACACCACTGCAGCATCTCTCATATCCCAGCCATCATCACACACTGTTCCCCACTGATCATCATGAAGAACCTCCACTCTCCCAGCACAGCGACTGCCACCATCCACCAACCTCACACTGTCTGTACAACAAAGAGAAGACAATCGATGGAATACTTTAAACATAACATCACGTAAACATTAAATTAGAGGAAATCACTCAAAGAAATTAAATATTAGCAACAAAATACAAAGCTCTTACCAGAACACACCAGTCCCACATCGCTGTCATGGGAGTAGTTGTGTTTGAGTGAAGATGATGTTGGACAGAAGTAAATCTGAGATTCGTTGCCTCTACAATGAAGCTCCTCTGACCACACCTGACCCTCCCCTCTGCCAAAAGCAGCTGCTCCCTGCACCTCCACAGGAAGCCCACAGCCCAACTCTCGACACACAACCTCTGCATCCTGCTGGTCAAAGTTAGCATCACACACTGTGGACCAGGTCTCTCCATGAAGCACCTCCACTCTCCCAGAGCAGTGAGAACCACCAACCAGCCTGACTCCTAAAATATTATCCAAATAAAACAGATATGAAACATGATTAAGTGTGCTT